GAGATTGCATCAGCGAAATGTAAGATCAGCAGCGCCACAACCTCTTCCACCACCCTCAAAGCGCTTCTCCTTCCCATCTAGTAACTCCACGAACAACGGCCATGGATGGGGGGCCCAACGCATTAAAGATATGCTCAAGAGTGCTCCTTTTCATTCGAGGAGGGAAATGTAGTAGTGCTCTTCCACATCACCTCTCATGAGCAAGGTCGCCCCATGCCCAGGTCCACCACCCGCCAACAGGGTGTTCCCGGGGCAAAATGTCTGCAGCATGAATGCACAATGGTATGGTGCCACTCGTAATGAACAAAGGCATATCAAAATCGTGGATGATACCTCTGCTGATTGATCCTTCAATTATCGCTAGTGTCACTATGTGTTTCCATTCTTCAACTGTGACGTCCGACATTCGGTCGGAGAATGTTCAGACATCCTCCGACACTTTGAGGACAAGGAGAACACCTAAACCAAGTGCCCCATACATCTCCTTACACAGTGTATATGTTCTTATGTGTGTGCATGTGATTTTGTGTGCGTGTGTGTGAGAGTGAGCCTCTCATGTGAATGTCTGTGTGTATGTGTGTGTGTCTGTTTATGCCCTGGGCCAGAGTGTGTTTTCATGTGCATTACATACTCAAAAGACAGGCAGATAAGGGAGTCTGTGTGTTCTTACGTGTGGAAGCGAGTACTATGTGTGTGTGTGTTTGTGTGCGTGTTGTAGATTGTCACCACAACGACCCCTTTTCCACCCAGATGAGGAGATCCCAAATTGAAACAGCTTTACCTCTATAGTAATCAACATGAAGCAGTACTAAGATCAGTGGGTCCATTGAAACAACTTCACCTCTACAGCAAACAACATGAAGTGCACTAAAACCGTTATACCGGTTATATTGCTTTTACCTCGATCAGTCCTTTCTTCGCTTTGCTTTGTTTGGGCTTCTGTGGGGTAGGTACCCCACCGTACCCCTTTTATTTCTTCTTGGAGTTCCTCTTTTCACCCTGCCTCTCACGTACAAGGCTTGCTACATCCCAGTCTGCCCCATCCCAGTGTGTCATAATGGCTCGCTTGTGTGTCTCATGTCATGTGTGTGTGAGCGCTCGTGTGTAAGTGTGTGTGTGTCCATGTGGCCACACTTCAGACAACGACAAAATCATGAGACAGATTTATGTCAGGCAATCCACAGCGAAACACAACACGGATAATCGTACAATTAGCATGTTTCACTGAATAGAGCGATTTAAGGATCGAGTCGTCTGCACCTCTTCCCTTTTGCAAAACACTGCCGCCTTACTCGCTGACACTGTGCCAGGCTTGTGGTGCATTGCCACAGCAATAGAGGGAAGCATATCCCGTGTGGTGGGTCACTCCCTCGCCATAATGGGACAGCAACCCAAAACTCATATCAAACGTAACCATGCACTATTTTCCCTGTCCTCAACTATACAGCACAAATATAACGGCTAATCGGGTGCCAGGAGCGAAGGACGCCAATACGCACAGTAATGCCTAAAAATGGTGGGCCCCACATCAAATGACATAGGATGGTGGGCAGGTGTGACACTGATGGAGCCCCCTGCAGGAGGGTACTTTTGTGGGCTGCTCGTACCACCCACAACAGTACTCTCGATTGGGGTTTTGTCAAAAAAAAAAAAAAAAAAAAAAAAAACAAGACACTTTGTCTATATTTCTATTGTTAAGAAAAAAAAAAGGCATTTTGTCTAATCATCCAAACCACCACAAGTGGGACCTCACTCTTGAAGATCTTCAAAAAATAAAAATAAATAAATCTTGAAGATCTATCTGCTGGTCTCTCTGCTTTCCCCCCCCTACCCTTTTTCCTTTGCCTGGTAACAGTCATCCCCCTGTCGGCTGCTTGGCTTGCACATTCATATTTCAGGTCAGGGTCCATTGCTTGCGTTCTTCGTTATGGACATCATTATAATAACATGAATCCACAATCAGACGAACAGCTTTAAGGTATGTGTTTTTTTTGTTTTTTTTTGCTGCCTTCTCCTCATCATCGGGGGACAGCCACATATATTTTTCTCTCACCTCGCATATCCTTTTATCTGGCGTTCTGCCATGTCATGGAACATATCTTTCTTTTCAGAACCTGCCACTACTCCTAAGGTTATACAGGGGACCCCTGCAAGCATAGCTTTCTACCTCTCTTGAAGCTCAATGAAATTGTGTTTGAAATTTGAATTGATTTAAAAAAAAAAGGTTAAGGTACACGGGACCTTGCCCCAGCAGCCGCTGCCAGCATGCACACGTGTACACGCAGGGCCTGTCAAGATAAGTTTTCAAAATACACTGATGGAATGAGAATGAAATTTGTAGGTTGGTATACCACCTGAAAGTGATGCCTTGGCAGCCTTTCCCACTGCCTCTCCGCCAGGGCTACCACTTAAACCACCAGTACTTGGCCCAGCTATCGATGCCGAGCCGGGAATGCCCCTGCGCGCCAGTTTTTGCCGAAGCGCCGGGGTACCGTTTCAATTATTTTATGGCTGGCGCTTGTCCAGTACTCCGAAGCCCTAAAGGCGCAGCGTGTTAACGGGTGAGCGCTGCGGCCGATAGCTGGGCCAAGTACTGGTGGTTTAAGGGAGTGGTCGTTGTCAAGGGCGCACACCGCACAGTCTCCCATTGCTGTCCATCCAGGTGGTTTAGAAAGTGTCCAATATGTGTCGTTTTCTGGCCACTTCAGGTTCTTTCCGTAGCTCAGATTGCATCTGTCTCCAGGCCTCCTGGGTATTGGCTGTGACAGTGTCTATGATTGTTGCCCGTGCTTGCATAAAATCAAAATCATGTTGCTTCTCCTTTCGTAGGCACGTTGCATCCTCCAGGCAGCCATTAACACCGTTAGTCTGGAGTAAGTGACCAGGTTTATCATGAAGGGTGTCCAGTCTGTTCACCCCTCTGGAGGCCCTCCCAGCAGGAGGGTATGAACGTCCCAGGGCAGGTGTTCCCCCGTGAGATAGTGCCAGGCTGCGTCCCACCAGCTCCAAAGTTGGGACACCATTGGGCAGTCTAATAGACAGTGCTCCAAGGTAGCTCTTTTCCGTGGTGTGGAGTGGGCGCAGTACATGCACAGCGGTGAGAGCTGTCCTTTTTTTTTTGCCTGTAGGCCTGTTCTTGTTGTTAGCCAATCCAGAGTGGGCAGGCATCTATGTATGATCTGCCATTGCAGTGCTCTATGATTGGTCGGCTTGATGTGCGAAAAAGAGGTCCATCTGAAGCGCTGGAAGTCCCGCTTTTCCAGTGGGGAGTCTCTTTCCCAACGATGGATGATTTGTTGTGTCGCTTGTACTCTTTTCCGGGCTATCCTATAATCGTTTCTTAACAGTATATTGCCACAGGGCAATTGTCTGAGACTCTCCTCATGACCATTTCCATTCTAAGGGGTCGAAGGGTAGGTCGCAGAGGGGAGTGGATGGCTCGTAGAGATAGAAGCCGTCCTTTGTATCCCCCACTACTCTGATTCTAATAAGCTCGGATGCCGGACGTTGTGTGTCCAGGTCCTCTTGTCTGTGTATTGCAGACCAACATTCCCCAGGCAAAGTCGGGCAATAGGCGTGTAATACTGTGTTTCCATTGTTGATGCTCAGCACCTCGTACACCTTCATGGGGACGGGCATAGAGTGAGTGAGCACCACCCAGTCCTTTTGTTGTACCCGGACTGCAACCCCCCTCAGCAGCCACCCGCCCCCTCCCTGCCGGCCCTGCCTTCTCCCTCCCCTCTTCCCCCCCCTTC